TAGAAGCAACATTTTTTTTATTTGTCTAGATATCTTTCTCATTCTCCCATTCTTCCTTCCCCTCTCCATAACTCTCCGTCTCTCCATTACCCATTACTTCTTCTTTACGTGTGTGTGTGTGTGTGTGTGTGTGTGTGTGTGTGTTTTCTTTGTTGTTCTATTTCTGCCTTGCTGTAGGTCATTCTATAAATGAGCTTCACATTTTGGTGTAAAAAAAAATGATGATACTGACTTAAAATTAGTGTGGTTATAGAAGCGATTATACACATTGAAACTCATACAGTGTGAGAAAGGCATTACTTAAAATTACACTAGGAATACACATGGAATTGGGGACACATGGTTACCCTATTTAAACAATCACACAAGGGCTAAAGGAACCCAAGAATCATTATTGCTTTTCTGCACCATAAGGAAGAAACAAAGGCAGTATGGGCCTTTCTATGTACTTCACATAGGCAGGAACAAATGTGACAGTTCTGTTTTAGCTATCTTATATTCAGAATAGTATTTCAAATCGAATCATTTCTGCTAAATTTCTTTCCTTAAGGTTTTCTGTTGGATGGTGTTCAGATTTTTCAAAAAAGTTTACACATTCTTTGTTTACTATTTAAAACCACCTTTTAATAGGTTCATTTCATTTCCTGTGCTCTGAGCTGGAACAGTCTTTTAGTTTCTGAGTACCATTAGAAAGAGTGGTGTGTTTAATCAATATTGGTAAAATAGATGCTTGGAAGTCTATTTTATAAAACCTAAACTTTGTCCTTTGTGTCCCTTTAATGTCACCTAAATCTAATGAGACTAAGGAATGTTCCCAACAGTTATGTTTCTCTTGCAGGGGAAGGAAAATCAGCCATTTAAAGGAAGATGATCTGAAGACACACAGATTATTCTTATGTTGGATACTTCACTGTTAAAATTCTCTCAATAAAGTTTTACAGCATTATCCAAGGAATCTTGCAAATCTTTTGTGAAGCATATTCGCAAGTACTATTGAAAATTATATTTTCTTTTTAATTTATTTTTTATTTATTTTACTTATTTATTTTTTATTTTATTGCTTAAAGTATTACAAAGAGTATTACATATGTCTCCTTTTTTCCCCCGCCCTTGACAATCACCTGGCCTCCCCACAGTGTCTTATGTCCATTGGTTATGCTTATATGCATGCATACAAGTCCTTCGGTTGATCTCTTACCACGCCCCCTCCTGCCCCCCAACCCTCCCTGGCCTTCCCGCTGCAGTCATTTTCTGACGTTTTATACTCCAATTGAGCTTTCATATGCAGACACATTTGTACATTGGTATTCTTTCCAGCAATCTTGCTACATATGCTTATTATTTCTAAAAGGTTATTTCTAGATAGCTTCTAAGTTTCATTATGCACAATCCAATCATTTTTTAATGCTGACAAATTTTTTCTTTGCTGTTTTAAATATTATGCTATTTTGGCCCTAGCCAGTGGGTAGTGCATCGGCCTGCGGACCGAAGGGTCCCAGGTTTGATTTTGGTCAAGGGCACCGTACCTTGGTTGCAGGCTTCTCCCCAGCTGGGCCCTGGTCAGGGCTTGTGCAGGAGGCAACCAATCGATGTGTTTCTCTCACATCGATATTTCTCTCTGTCTTTCCATCACTCTTCCACTCTATCTAAAAATGAACTGAAAAATATCCTCGGGTGAGGATTTTTTAAAAATGTATACTATCTTGGCTGGTTTAGCTCAGTGGTCAGAGTGTTGGTACGTGGATTTATGGGTCTTGGAATCGATTACCCATCCAGGGTACTTACCAGATTGTAGATTCTATCCCCTGTCCCAGTCGGGTCCCATGAGGCAGGCAGTCAATCACTGTCTCTCTCTCAATTGATGTCTCTCTCTACCCCCGTTTCCCACCCTTCTACACTGTCTAAAAAACAATAGAAGGAATATCCTCCAGTGAGGATTTTTAAAAATACGCCTTTGTTTCCTTTTCTCAATTTACCACTGACCCCACCCAGTACAATGCTAATAGAATCGGGATTAGTTTGTCAAAGCTGTTTTATTCGTTATAGGAAATGGAAAAATTTTAACATTTCACCATGTTCACTGTGAAGTAAAGGAAGTTCCATTCCAATCCTAATCCGGTAAGAATTTTAATCTTGAGTGTATGTTAACCTCCATCAGACACTTGTGTATTTGTTGAACTGGTCATAGGATTTTTCCTTCCATTAATCTATTAATATGGTGAGTTATATAGATAACATTATAAGTTTTATTTTTTTATACTTTATTGTTTTTTTACAGAGAGGAAGGGAGAGGGAGAGAGAGTTAGAAACATTGATCAGCTGCCTCCTGCATACCTCCTACTGGGGATGTGCCCACAACCAAGGTCCATGCCCTTGACTGGAATCAAACCTGGGACCTTTCAGTCTGCAGGCCGACGCTCTATCCACTGAGCCAAACCGGTTTGGGCAACATAAGTTTTAAAAAATCTTGTATTTCTTGGAGGGAGAGGGGTTAGTCATATATTATTCTTCTGAATAAACTACGTCCGAATACTTTGTTCAGGATGTTTACGAAGGACCTCATGAACAGCATTAGGCCATTTTATTTCATGTACTCTCTTCCTTGGACTTTGGTACAAAGGTACACTAGCTTCTTTAAATGAACTGTATGTAAAAACTCTTATTCTGTTCTCTGGAATGCAAGTGTCCTCAAGGCTGGGAACAGTGTAGCAATAGGCTTTCCCATGATCAGCTCTATCTGGGTGGAATCTCATTTTTTAGTATCAGAGCCTACTTACAGGTCAGGGACAGAGGGGATGCTTCAGGTGCCCATTACTTCAGACTTTGTGAGATGCTCATCTTCCCTGTAAGATAGCTCTAATGATGCTATCACTTGAAAGCTACCTACTCCTGGTTGTATGCTGATATCGATCTTGCCAAGCATGTCAAACTTACCACTGGTGGGCCGCATGCCTTGTTTATTTTTGTACACCCAGTAAGGTAAAAGTCATGGCTCTATTACCTTGCCTGGATAATTTCTATCTCCTACATGGTAATCAATGACCTGACCACATCCTCAGCTATGTATTTACAACAATAACTTCATTTATTGAGATCTTTCATAACAGGAATAATAAGTCACATTTAGAGAGTGTATACTACCCATCACCACTTCTCTGAACTGGGTTCCATACATGTATCACCTAATTTAATCCTCACAATTAAGGTGGAACAGAGTGTACACAAAATTTGTCATTGAATCCCATTCAAAACAGATTTAGGGATTCAAGTTCTAAGTTAGAAATCCTTGTTTCTCAATATAAAAACTTCTAAAAGTTGTATACAGGAAAGCGGATGTTGTACATGATGACTGTAGTGATAGGCTGTAACATGATCTTTGTCTAGCAAGTTGTTGGTCTGATGATGGGAAAGTAGAGTACAGGATGCAGTACTGCTGCACAGCAAGTGATAGAGGACTGAGCCTAAATCCTAGCACCGTTATCTAAGGGTATCGCTAAACCACACACGGACCGAATGACCACAGGTATATCCAGAGAAACGTTTACTTACTGTGTGGAGATGTATGCGCAGTAACACAAGCAAAGAACTTAAGAAAACAGGGGTGAATGTATTTAATTTATGGAAGTGAGCAAATTCCTTGTATGCATGACACAAAACCAGAATCACAGTAGGAAGTGATTCGTCCAAGTATACGTGTAAACATGGTATTAACGTATGTTTCTGTCACGGCCACGTTTTTGAGACACATTCTCCATTAAGGTTACACTTGGCCTGTCTGTTCACAAAGTTTCTGAAAGCAAAAGAATGATTGGGGGTAGGGAAAAATCACACTTCGAGCCCGCTTTCCTGTCTACTGCTGATCTGGTGGTTTCGACGCTCTGCGGCCTTACCAGGAAAACCTCAACTCCAATCTCAGGAGCCCAAGTCAGAGCGCATGCCCCTAGCTGCACATGCTCATACCTGCGCATGCGCATTTCAGACCATGCACATTGCCGCACGCGCCCATAGCTGCGCATGCGCTCTTCAGACCATGCCCATTGCTGCGCAACACTAAGCCCATTGTTGCGTATGCGCCTTGGTGTTCTGAGAGGAGAACTGCGCGAGAAGCGACCGAGAGGCGTCCGTGTTCCTGCCATTTTGATTCTTTCTCGCTGGTTGACATCATCTGGTAGGTGCACAGAGCAGCCCTCCGGGACTTTGACTGTGGGAGAGTGTGAGGGGAAGGCCCACGGGCTACGGTGGGGTGGGGCTGCGGGTTCCGTGGCCTCCTAGGAGGAAGGGCCTCGAGGTCGGCGCCTTTCTCCTCTCAGCCATCATGGCGGCCGTGGGCCTCGAAGCCCTGGCGTGACCCGGACTAGGAGGGTGCTGGGCCTGCGAGGGCAGGGGCCAGGTAAAGGGTTTGGGGGACATTATTCCAGGTGTCTGGGTCCTGGAATTCACCTGGAATGGCCCACAGAACAGAACCCACAGCCCTCCGCGGGGCCCTGGGCGAGTGGGGGGGGGCGGTCAAGGAAGGGCCTAGGAACGGGGTGCTGCGGGACTGCCCTGCGAGGCCCTGGGCCTGCGCCCCGAGATGTGTAGGCACCAAAGCAGGGGCCGCGGGAGAAGCGGGCACAGCCCCGTGTATCGCAAAGACTTGAGAAAACAGAGACATTAAGTCAAGAAATGAGCCTTTCTGTACTTTCCCACAAAACTTTATTGCTGGGGCAGAAGGTGCCCAGTAAATAGGAGTATGACAAAATCAGTAGTTACTCAAGTTCCTTCATTCATGAGTTCAGTTGTGAAACCAGACTTCATCAAAAAAGTTCTGTTTTTCACCACATGCCTAAGGCTATTTGTATGTCTTTTTGATGCTCACATAAACAGGGGCCTATTTGGTGTTATTAGAAAGTATTTGCCTGGGACTTACCTTGAAAGTATTTCTGAAATTAAAAATAAAATTACAGATATAGCTATCATCTTAAGTGAATTTTCTAAATCTCAATATTTCAGTGTGAAATATGAGTGAGCAAGCAAAATCAGCATCCACACCTGAAGAAGGAGGAAATGATCAAGAGTTTTCACACTTGGTTGAACCTATAGCTGTAAGTACTTCAATATTTCATGTTTTCTATTAGCAGATATCTATTTTGGGGAAAATGTTTTTGAACTAGTATAGATACACTGATGAAAGTCTTCCATGCTGATAAGTAAAAATTGAATCTCATGAAGGAAACATTGATCCAGGAGGATTACATTCTCATGTTGCCTATGTGGATGTTGTTATGATTCCTGGAAACTGCACAACTCCTTTCTCATGCTTATTAACAACAGATTGTTCACATCCACCCCAGTGTAGATTAAAATAGCTTCTAAAGTCCTTGTTGATAACTTTTCCTGGAGTAGCCTCTCATGGGAAGAATAACTTTGTTAAGAATAATTATATAGAACTAGAGGCCTGATGCATGAAATTCGAGCAAGGGGCTTGGACCTTACAGCCACAGCACCTTGCCTCAGCCCTCGCAGCCCTGGCTTCATCTGGAAGGTTGTCTGGCTGTCTGGTCTAATTAGCATATTACGCTTTTATTATTATAGATAGTACTGGAAAATGTCACTAGACTTACTTATGGTTACATTATCTATGTGTTATGTATATATCATTGACACACACATTCCCCTAGGACACGCAGCCCAGTGATGAACAACTTCAACAAGAGGAGCCACAAATTGAGAATCAGGATATTATACCTAGTCAAGAGCCAGAAGATGCAAGAGTATCTGAGGTTCAAGGTGAAAAGAAAGGGAAGGACACTGCCTGGGGGTGGGAAGGATTGTACACGTGCATCATGCATTATGACACACCAGTAGTAGGAGGAAATACAGCATTAGAGAGGTTATTAAACATTTCCTACAATTTGGCTGGAAAAATTAAAACAGGTCTGCAGCCAAGTGCAGTTAACCCACTTCATAAATGAGAAAACTGAAGCTTGGTATTTGTGTCTTACCAAAGAGCATTTGAATGGTGGAGACAGAACTCATGTTTCACCCCAAAGTTTGTGTGCTTCCTGCTATTCATGTAGCTATAAGAAAATGTGATTTTGTTTCAGATGCTTAATATTCAAATATTTGTGCTGTAAGATAGCTCAGTACTGGCACAGGAATAGACTCAGTTCAAGTGAATAAAATCTAGATAAGGATAGAGTCTAGAAAAGGGTTCAATGAATGGTAGCCATTGTTTACTTTGATATTTTTATGTGGTAGCTTGGTAAAAGCTGGATATTTCAAGGTATTGGCACACAGGTATCTGGTTTAGTGTTATTATTTAAGTGGCTTTTAAATGATGGCTAAATCATTTTATGGTTAAGAAAGTCAAAAAATTTTGTTCCTAAAATTAAATGCTAGTGAGAGACACGAATTCTGCCTTGAGCTCACAATCTAGTAAGAGAGACTTAAATCACTAATTTAATGTGAAAAATATAATGACAAATACAATCATAAAAGTACAGAAAGAGCAACTAAATTGTCTAAGGACAGTGTTGGGAAAGAAAAAGGGTAATTACTTTTGAAAAACCTTGCTTTCTTTTTTTCTGGCATCAGAGTCCTGAAATAACCCCTTTTGGGGTTCTAACATATCATATTTATTACCACACTAGCCTACAGGCTTTCCTTTTGTAATATTGACAGGATGAAAAAAATATATATATAGTGCTTAAATTGATAACCGTTTTATTTGTAAGGGCCTGTCCTGGAGGCTGAGCAACAGGAACTGACTCTGGAAGACACTAGGGATCAGTGTGGAGATGGTCCTGACGTCATGGAGCATATTCTATCAAATTTGGAGCCTATTATAGTGCCAGAAGCAGGTATGTGATTCATTCAGAATGAAAGTTATGAGGCTTCTGTTTTCCACAATATTGTATCTTTATTATTATAGAGGTATCATTACTGATACTCTAGTTTACATATAAATATTCTTTGAAAGGTAGTTTAGATTCCACATACATGACTTATAAACTATGAGAGATAGAAACAAATTGGGTCAAATCCATATCCTATCTACACTAATAAAAGACAAACATGCAAATTGACCGTACATTTGCTACACCTTAAGCCACGCCCACCAGCCAATCAGAGCAACTATATGCAAATTAACCCAACCAAGATTGGCCTGCAGCCACAGAGCTGGAGCGAGCAGGAGGCTTGGTTGCTCCAATGATGGAGGAAGCCAAGCTTCCCGCTTGCCGTGGCGGCTCTGAGCTCCACTCAAAGCAACAAAGTTTGAATTATAGAAGGTAAATAAACCCCAGATACCTGCTTTCAGCCGGCCATGGCCATGGAGCTGGAGCGAGCAGGAGGCTTCCCTCCCGCCCGCCCTGGCTGGCTCTGAGCTCCGCTCAAGGATACAAAGTTTTAATTATAGAAGATAAGTAAATCCCAGAATAAAAAGAAAAAAAGGAGAGGCTGGGAGCTTCCGTCACCGCGGGGCTTGGCCAGCCTGAAAATGGCCCTCAGCCCCTCATCCAGACTGGCCAGGCACCCCAGTGGGGACCCCCCACCCTAAAGGGGGTGTGGCCAGCCTGCAAACAGCCATCAGCCCCTCACCCAGGCTGGCCAAACCTTCATGGGGTGAGGGTCCCCACTGGCGGGGGGCTTGACCAGCCTGCAAACAGCCATCAGCCCTTCACCCAGGCTGGCCAGGCACCCCAGTGGGGACCCCCACCCTGAAGGGGGTGTGACCAGCCTGCAAACACCCATCAGCCCCTCACCCAGGCTGGCCAGGCACCCGAGCGGGATCCCCCACCCTGATCTGGGACACCCTTCAGGGCAAACCAGCTGGCCCCCACCCATAGACCAGGCCTCTATCCTATATAATGAAAGGGTAATATGCAAACTGACCCTAACAGCAGAACGACTGGGCATGACTGGTCACTATGACACACACTGACCACCAAGGGGGCAGATGCTCAATGCAGGAGCTGCCCCCTGGTGGTCAGTGCGCTCCTACAGGGGGAGCTCTGCTCAGCCACAAGCCAGGCTGATGGCTGCCAGTACAGCGGTGGTGGTGGGAGCCTCTCCCTCCTCCTCAGCAGCGCTAAGGATGTCTGACTGCAGCTTAGGCCTGCTCCCCGCTGGCAAGTGGACATCCCCTGAGGGCTCCCGTGCTGCCAGAGGGATGTCTGACTGCCAGCTTGGGCCCGATCCCCCAGGGAGGGGGCCTAAGCCAGCAGGTCGACATCCTCCGAGGGGTCCCAGACTGCAAGAGGGCATAGGCCAGGCTGAGGGATCCCACCTGAGTGCACAAATTTTTGTGCACCAGGCCTCTAGTCCTATATAATAAAAGCCTAGTGACCAAATGGCAGAACGACCCGTCAACCAGTCTCTGTGACATGCACTGACCACCAGAGGGCAATTGCTCAACGCAGGAGCTTCCCCCTGGTGGTCAGTGCACTCCCACAGTGGGAGTGCCGTTTGGCTGACTGGGATGAGTGGTGTTCCCACAGTGGGCTGATCCCTGCAGGCCATGCCCCCCACCAGTGCAAGAATCCCGTGCACTGGGCCACTAGTTGAATTATAAAAAGTGAAGACATTTTCCTTGTTGTTTAATATTAAGTCCTTTAATGAACAACTAATAATTTCCAGATACTATTCTAAAGGTCTTCTTTTTACAAGTATATAATACTTTTGTAACACAGATCAATTTGTGTGAAACATGACGAAGCATGGAAGTAGGTTCGAATACCAGCTCTAACATAATTTGTTTGATTCTGTACAATCTCTTTTCTAACCCCTATTTTGCTATTATAAAAAATAAAGTTGAAATCAGGTATTTAAGAATAAATTTCAATTTGTATTTTTGCATTCTCTGGTTCTGTTGAATACAATGCATAAGATACAATGATAATCTGCTTCTCATGAGTTTTTATCATAAATCATCAAACACTAGCCAGAGTCAAATTATAACATCTGAGATGAAGTTTCATGGCTTCTAAGAAAGTGAATGCTCTACTTGATGTTTGTTTTTGCATGTGGAGACCTAGATCCTGTCTTAGATTCTGTCAATTTTTTTTCATTCTTCTGATTCTAAATTATAATTTTATTTTAAATTCTCCCCCAAATGAAGCCTCAAATGACTGAATAATAAAATGGCAGGAGACAGTCTAGTTTCTAGTTTCTGCATTTGATCAAGTAGGGACCAATACACATTGTGATATTCAAGGTGGGGATGAGTAAGATAATATGCTAATTACACTCCCTGTCTCTACCATCAGTCTTAATGAGCTATTGTTTCAATAAGAAAAATATGATCACCTCTAATCATGTCAGAGGTCATATATCTCCAGTTTTTGTCCTTGAAACTCCAACTGATAAGATTTGAAGTTCAAAGTTTATATAGGTGATGTATTTTCTGAATAATCAACGTAAGTATTTCTTACACTTGTGTTTTCCAAAGTGCTTTTAATTACACAGCTACTGAATTTAAAGGAGGCACTTGAGTTTAGGGGAAAAATTAGCCTGCATTATCTCCTATTTGTGTTCACTCTACATTTCTGATTCATTCCATCAGAATATTTACATTAAAATATTGTTTTCAGAATATGTTCACAAAACAATTGAATATAGCTAAAATACATTCATGTGTACAAGATGCTCACTTGTTAGGTATATTATATATTAAAAATGAACACATTTTTGAACTCTAAACAAACATTTTAAAATATGGATGAAATTTGCTAGGAAAACAAGAATTATTGAACATACCACAGGAGTAACTGCATATCTAAACATCATACATACTATGGGTGGACTTTTAAAATTTGTCCAAGTTACCCCTCAAAAGCACATATCTTTTAGAAGCAAATAATGATCTGCATGTGAGATCATTCCCTTCCTTATGTGTGTTGTCTCTCTCCCTCTCCCTCGTGCCCTCTTCTTGCCAGATCTAAAAAAAAAATGGTAGTATTTTCCTTCATATTTTGTTGTCCCCATAATGATATGGCTTAAAACTAATGTGGCCATATAATTTGTTTTGTAAACCAAAACAACTTTATCTGCATAAAGCTGCGTTAATTATAATTTAACCAGGGGTATGAGCGGAAAAGAGGACAAATTATTATACTAATTAAAACAAACACATAAAGCCTGAAATAGCCCAAAGAAACATTTTGGCACTTTCCCACAATACAGAGAAAACAAATGAACTGGCTTTGCTATTTAATTTACCTAAGCAGTTCCAAGTATGGCATTATTATTTTGCCTATCCTTTTTTCTCAGTGTTATTTCAAGTCAAAACATCTAAAATTATACTTTAAAATTTTTATTTTGTTTGCTAGGTGTTCACTTTACTTGCATTTTTACTAAAGTTACAGGATTTTTGCTTTCTACTTAAATCTTACTTTAAATAGCTTCCTTTGATTTAATTTGTTCTGAAGTCTTTGTGTCCTACACCACTAGAAAGAGTGGTATGTTTTAAAATATCATCAATATATCTTAAAGTCTACCTCCAAAGTCTCTACAGAGGTTTAAGTATATGTAAGCCAAACGATCACCCTTAGAATTCTAGTTTTAGTCCACTTATAAAACCCAAACTGTAGTGTCCTTTGTATATCTATAATGTAAATAAAACTCTGCTAAGTGATGTTCCCAACTGTTATGTTTACATTATAGGTGAAGGGCAACCTTACCTGTAAATGAAGACAAGCAGAAGCCATGCACCATACATGCTGTCCTTCCAATTTTGGAAATTGGACTATTTAAGTTCTCTCAATAAAGTTTGACAGTTTTCTCAAAAGAATCCTTGCTCATGTACTGTTAAATTTACTCCTAGTGGATGTTAGCATAAGTTGTGTCTTTTCCTGAAATTTTATATTCCGTTGGTCTGATACATAAAAGTACATTTTTAAGATATTGATGCTCTATCCTAAAACCTTGCCAAATAATGTTATTAATTCCCAGTTCCCCCATTTTTCTCATGAGTAATCAGTGAAAGTACATTCGAAGAACTTGCAGGAAGATGCACTGACCCCTGGTATCTGTGACTCTCAAGAGTTCCATATTCACATGCTAGCCCTCACTGGGTTCTTATCAACTTGTTAAAATGTTAACTAAAGTCTACTCATCCACTTGTATGATGTCCCCGTACTCTTTCTATCTCTGGCCTAGGTGAGTCACCGTTCTTGTCTTGACTCCCCTTGAGGTGCCTTTTTCCCCTTAGATTTCAGGCTAGTGAGCCACCTTGAAAGTTAAGTTCTATGGTGGGTTTAAGAAGAGTTGTGATTTTGTACATTATGTGGCATTTTCTTTCCATTAGTGTGGGAGTATGATTTTCCCCCAGATTTTAAAATAGAATTTCCCATTAGTTCTTCAACTCTACTAAATAGAAGTATAGCACTTAGTTGGGCTTATAACAAGTCTTTTTGTTCAATAAAGGAAACATGTCAATGTTCATCTTTAATTGATATTGCCCCCTTATCCTGGCTAATGAAAAATACATTTTTACAATTTTGAGTATTAATCTCTTTCACCCAAATTCAAATACAACCTGAAACCTAATCAATGTGCAAATGATACCTGGAAAACCACCACTTTTTCCAAAAAGCTTTCAAATTATGGTACTACATGGAATTTTATTAATATGCTGGGGAAAATCTTTTGATTTCTCACATTTATGTGCACCATGTGTAGGGAGAATTCATACATATTCTGCTGATTATCATGTGGAAATCTTATTTTTTGTCTCTAATGCTGGTACATGACTAGTTCATCCAAGCAAGGCCATTAAGAATTGATTTTGCAACAACAACCAAACTCTACTTCATAATAGGAGTATTTGACCTAGAGAAATTGTCCCAGGAATGCAAATTCTTAACCATAGTTCTGATACACTCTAGCAAATTAAACGGAAATTCTACTCATTACTTGGAAATATTGAAAAAGTTGACTATATAATAGTAATAAAGGAAAAACTGAAATACTTTCAATGTTTACTAATTACATATTACCTGCTGATTGGCCCTACACACCCTGCATATTCCAGAAAGAGGTTTTTTTTGATAATTTTAATAAGTGAATCGATGGTTTTCATAGAAACATTTCATTACCTTATTTTTTTTTCTCATGGAGTTAGGAGTAAATTGGGTGGTATGATGCCAAAAAAACCCCACCCCCACACCATTTTTGAACAATTTGTAACAATCTTCCTAGCAGATAGGTGTCTATGCTTGACATCGCTGATAGAAGATTTAAAGATCTCGTTTGTCCACTAAAAAGAAATATTTCCAATTTGAGAAACATTCAACACACAAGTTGTGCATCAAAATTCTATTATTGTGTGATTTAAGGTTAGTAAAAGGGAAATATATTCTATCATGGAATCTTAGAAACATTAATTCATATGCCTGGCCTTCTAGGAGATTCATATTCTCTCTCTCTCTCTCTCTCTCTCTCTCTCTCTCTCTCTCTCTCTCTCTCTCTCCCCTCTCTCCTCTCTCTCTCTTTCCATATTCATCTCTAGCTCTGACTTTATCTCACTCAGGTCCATGCTATCCTCATTCTAAGGACTACTTCAAATGATCTGTCCACATCTGCTAAATTAAGAGCCATAAAAACCCCAGAGATCAGAAGTTCAGATGCATGAGAGAAGCAGAGAGAAGCACTCTCTGGAAGTCCTAGATTTCCTTAAATGACACAGGGAGGATAAAGGAGTTGGGAGGCACTGATCTTGAGGTCACTAGTTAAGGCCTTGCTTGAAAAACTGAACCATAATTTTCCTCCCTCAGGCATGGGGTGGAAGAGGCTGGAGGGGCAAAGGGTGGGTGTGGAAGGGGAGATAAGTGTCTCTGGGTAACAAAATAAAGTTCTACTCTGAGAAAAAAGGGGTCAAGCCCCTGAAATACAACATCTGGGCACGTGAAAGTGGCAACAGAAATGGAGCAGTTCTCCTTCAGCAGGTGGGATTGGCTGGAACATGTGAATCCTGAGGAGGAAAGAAGATTTTCTGGACAATGGGGGTGACTTCACAGAGAAGGGTCCCTTTAGAGAATGGGGTCCCTAGATTCCCCAGCCCCAGGCCGAGAGGGTGGAAATAGACTGAAAGGAGATGGGCTTCTCTATGTGGCAGTCTGATAAGTTTATTTTGATTACAGTCATGTATTTATTATATTACACATATGTAAGAAAAATTACCTGCTAATATGAAATTGTTTAAATACTTATGATTTTTTTCGTAGGCAATACATGTACAAGATCAAAATATCCAGCGCATCTTTATGTCTCACCAAATGGAAGCATGTATAAGAGGAGAGAGTCCCCTCTTATTCAAGAGGACATCAATAACAGAACAGCCCTTTGTGGTTACAGAAAATAGTAAATATACTCATATACTAAAGGAAGAAATTAGTAATTATTCCAAATTTTCATTATTCTTACTTAAAGCTGAGGAAACTTAACCACATGTGGGTAAATGATGATCTCCAAAGTCACACCAGGAGTAATTGTTGACAAAGCCATATGCTGATGAATCACTATCCATATTTTCAGCTCAGGCCTTTCTCCTAAGCTACAGGCTTTCTGGACAACTGTTAGTCCCACAGGGAACTAATACTCAACATATCTACACTGAACCCATCTTCCCTCTGCTCTGAAAATGTGCACTCTTCTAGTGTAGCCTAACATAGTGAATTTTGCTCTATCATTTTTTACCAAGCCAGAAATCTTTAAGGCCATATATTACTTTGAGAGACTTACTCTGGCCCCTCAAACTAAGGTGGGTTTCTCCTGCTATGCACAGAGCAGAGACCATAGAAAACTCTATTTTAATGAACACTCTCCCCGTCATTGATTGTTTCATTACCATGTTCTCCAATACCATGTATGTTTTGCTTGCCTCTTAAACCCAAGTACTAATGCAGTTTCTGGCACCCAGTTTTGGGGAAAGAAAACTGTGTCACCATTATAATAGGACTAATAAACTGGTATGTATATGGACATAATTTTCCAGTTCATCAAGCAGAGTTTGAACCTTAGTGAACAGATAAAACTAAAGGACTTGAAATTTTAACTGATTAGAACATGTTGACTATTTATTGAACTCATTAACCAATGTAGAAATCAATAAGGTGTTAACATGGGTTGGAAGGAGAATTGATGAACAGGGATTTATATATTCATATAAATATATACTTAAAATGAGTTTGTTAATAGATACAAACATGGTTAGCAGCCTTAAAAGCCATAAACTATAGGATTTTGGGTTATCTTTTCTACCTAATGTAAATCAATTGCCTCTATGAGCTCTATACCACACAAACTTTACTTGCATTGACAAAAAATAATTAGTATTTCACTCAGACAAGAATTATTTTCATTTCCACCAGTTTTCTTCAAAGTAACCTCTATATCTACAGATTGTAAAAGAGCCCAGCCAATGGAAACTCAATCAATATTGCCCTGACCGGTTTGGCTCAGTGGATAGAGCATTGGCCTGTGGACTGAAGGGTCCCGGGTTCGATTCCAGTCAAGGGCATGTTCCTTGGTTGCGGGCACATCCCCAGTGGGGGGTGTGCAGGAGGCAGCTGATCAATGTTTCTCTCTCATTGATGTTTCTAACTCTCTATCCCTCTCCCTTCCTCTCTCTAAAAAATCAATAAAATATATTTTTTTTAAAAAGAAAGTCAATCAATACTATAATATCCAGCACTGCACTAAAAGAACACCCAAATTTTGGATAAATTTTCAAGGTCTCCTCCATTGTGGGTAAAAATAATTTCATAAAATGCCTGGTCTCATTTGATCTGGAATAATTATTTGCATAAGTAATATATACATTACTTTTAGCTAGTATAACAGTATTTATTAATAATATAGAGATCAGTAAGTTTGCTTTTCAAATCTACAGTAATAAAATGTTAAGCAATTCCTAATCCCTAATGATGAAATCTGCCAGGAAGTTGTCATAATGAATCTTGGATTAGATCTTTTAAAGTGTCTTCTATTATTTATTCTTCTACCCTAAGAATAGAAAACCAAGCCCAAGAAATTAACTTTGCCATATTTCACTTGAAGCCCCTGTAAATTTCAGAGGGTTTTCTCTCTTCAAATCCCCCCAAATCTACTATGGTTCCTGGCCTGCCAGGAAATATCCACCTTACCATCTCAAAGAATGGGGCCTCACCCTGTAAGTTAGGTATGAGGATCGTTTTCCTGGGAATATGTTGCAGGCACTGGCTCACATGTAAAGTCAACACTTGCTTAGCAGTGGACATGATATAACTAATTCAGTGAGAATCATTCAAAGGTAACACTCAAAGTGTTGCCTGAGTCCACAGTGATTTCCAGAAAGGTCTTCAATGAGATGTGGAGGGGACCTCCCTTCCAACAGGGAATATTTAGCAACATCTGCAGACATTTTTCCATTGTCTGCAGCTGGGGAGTGTAGGTTACTTCTAAAACCTAGTGAATGGAAGCTGCTAACATCCAATAATTCACAGGACAGCTCCCCAACCCCCACACAAAATAATTACCTGACTCAAATGTCAATAGTTCCAAGAGTAAGGCACTCTGCCCCAGAGAATTAGTTATTAAACTTACTCAGAAAATTATGGAACTCATTAGGTAAGAAGCATATAAAATAAACTTGCAGATGTCAATGCCTTTCATATATAAAAATACTCAGAGGATGTGATGGTAGAGA